TTTCCTTACTCCATCACTATCGAAGATGGTGATATTCCGATAAAAAACCATCTATAATATATGACAGAAGCATGGAATCACTGAAAATCAGGCGTCGTTAATTCTGCTCGCCGCTGTGTACACAGATGTTAATCAATCGGAGATTTCTATGCTTGTGGTGTAGAGCAGGGCAATTGAGCCTGGCAAATTTTAAAAAAAAGATCACTGACGAGCGAATCGCTGCATAATATCAATGAATGAACAATCACTTACTGCTTGATGGCCTTCACCACTAACGAGAATTTTAAGGGTGTATTTGAGACCAGACACAACCTGCTTGCTTGCAGAGACCACTCTGATGAGTTCATGCGAGTGCCCGTCATTCATCAATGCATCGATTTTTGCTATTGACTTAGCAGTCAATTCCTGGAACAAATGAATCATTCATATTCCACGAACATGCTGCATGTTTTCATGCCGTGAAATGATTTAGAGCTAGTCCAATTCGATTCATTCCTGGTAATTTTGTTCTCAGTGCCCAACAAAGCCAAAGTGAAATTCTACTGAGCGAATTTCGGTCAATATTCAGATCAGTCTCGCAAAACTTTAACGTCTGTCTCAAGATCAGTGATTTTTCGCTTACCTTGATCTCCGGATCATTGACATCTACCTCCTTTGATCCGCCTGTCAGTCCTGCTTCCGCTTGCATAACTACGATGCAGCCAAAAACAACTGCGATGGCGATACTGCATTGCATCTTCATATACCTTTGGCTGCAATTGTATGACCTATTAGGCGCGGTGAACAACGTGAATCGCTCCCAATTCAGCATGAATCGTTCACCAATCAAACAGCCGATTACAACTTAAAACTGAATATCAAAACGGACTGAGCATCATCTGTGAATCATAAGACATTATTGCCTTCAGCATGAACAAATGGATAACAAATCTGATAATTTTTTTTGGAAAATATCTTAGGAAAATGTTGGAAAAGTTTGACTACAGCAAAAGAAAACAGGTGAAATGTTCACAAAATGTTTCAAAATCATTTCCACC